TTTCTTGTTTTTACGGGCTCCCCGAATAATTACTGACTTTCAATTATGATTAATTAACAATCAAATTCTTAGACTATAATAGCAACAATCGTCAACAAATCACTCGCTGGAATATTTGAAAAATTAAGGCCTTTGAAAGCTCATTTCTATATAAAGATTAAACTAAAGATGATTAAGATAACGATGACATATTGTTATAAGTAAATATACACTCTGGCATGTATACAAAAGAAGTTACTGTATATGTAAATATTATAAAGAAGCTGTATTAATTATATAATGTTTCTTTTTTCTTTCTTTGTTTTCTTTCTTTGTTTTTTTTTTTTTTTTTTTTTTTTTTTTTTTTTTTATAAATGTATCTCTTCAGGCATAGATTATTTTGAATACTAATTGTATTTAACTCAAAAAACGTCCTATGATTGCATTTTAAAAATTGTAGAATTGTTTTGTTATCCCACTGTAAATGCAAAATAAAGTAAAAAAAAAACATCGTTGACAATATAAGAATAGCCAGATCGGCTACATAATATTGTAATGTTAAAAATGAATAGAACAATGGTAAACTTAAATACCTTTTCAAAATAAGTCGCGTGAGAATTAATACGTGAAAACTGATGTTACGATAAATCGTAGAATCGGTAAAGATTTTAATAGATAATAAAATTATTAATCTGTATGTGTTAACTCGTTAAATACATTCCCTGCGCAATACCTTTGCTGAATAAAATAAAGGTTGTATAGTTCTTTTTTTTTTTTTTTTTTGCATAAATGCAGAATTTCCATGAAAGCCTAGTAACGGAATATCCGTATACGATGCAAGTTATTCCTTACCCGTTTAAACAGCTTTAAAATCATGGGACAAAAGAAAAAACGAACATCCATTGTTCGTCTGAAAATGATAAAATTATCGCGAAGATGGTAGTCATGAAAAATGATACGCATGCAAACTCGAAGTACCCGAGCGTCGTCACAACAATGCATTTATCAACAGCTTCAACGGGTTATAACCGCTTATTAAGACGAGTAGCTGCTGATGCGACTGTTTTATTTATAATATACATCTCGAGTGGTCACCGGTCAAGTGCCTTACCATTTTGCCACGAACGCACGCCCATTGCTGTGCTGCGAGTGTATGGTTGCATAGTGAGAGACAGCCATCTCGTGGTTTTCCCGACCCATACGCGTCTTTTCCCTTCGATAGGAAGGTGGGATGAACGACGCTGGGCTTGGCGAGGCTCGCGAGGACTCGAGGCCAAATACGGTTAATCTTTTAATGGCACTGCCTACGACTCGACGGCCACCACCTTGGAAGTCGACGACGATGATTCACAGCCCGACCCGTCCGCAGTACCTCGTTGTTCGGTGCCGACATCTCGCAGCGCCGTACGCATAACAAACGCGCGCGATCTCTTCCTTCTCAGCCGCAGGTAAAGAAACTCCCTGCAGCGAGACGCTCACGGTGCCTCAAATGTTCGAGGAAAGGCGTCGAGGAGGTCTTCCTCGGGTCGAGCAGACCCACTACTTAACATGCGAATGCCAAATTGCCAATTAAATGCAATGGTTGCCTTTATGGTTAATCGGGGTTTGCTCTAGCAGGTGGTCGTGGCATCGCTGCATTTTAATAACGTTTTTTCGCTGAGCTCTGGAATGCAGATACTTCGCGGTACAAAAGGTGCAAGAACGACGCATCGGCCGAGATTGCGGATCCACGAGTTATTTGGAATTCTCTGGAAAACTTGTGGCAAATTTCGGAATTCTATTGTACGATTATATTATTACGAATATTATACAATATCAAGCTTAGGTATTGTTTTATTGTTATATTATTTGGATATTAAGACTCCTTATTATTATTATTATTATTATTATTATTATTATTATTATTATTATTATTATTATTATTATTATTATTATTATTATTATTATTATTATAAGGATTATAATGGGCTGGTGGTATGAGATTGTGCTATTGACAGTGACGATAATTGTCGTAAGATTGAAAATTATATCATCCTTAAATTTCAATTAAATTCATAGCTGAGTTGCAAGCAGGCTCAAGTTCTATTTTATTAAACAATCAATAATTGACCTTGAAACCATTTATTATTTACTTTAATCTACAAATACAGAACGTAAGATACCCAATAATTGTGTACTATTCAAGACGTAGGAATAAATGCATTTCAAATAAGATGTCAGTTCACATAATGCAATTGTTTTCCTTTAATATGCTTCGATACGTTTTCTTTTTCTTTTTAATAATCCAATGGCTTATTATTATACATAATATAATGGAATACGTTTCCTGCTACATTTGCCAATTAAAATAGACATTATTGTATATTTATACAATTTATATGATATTTCAAGCTGCGGTATAATGTATTAATAATATATTCAGAGTGCTTCACGTTACTTCCATTAAAGAGTATAAATGATTGTAATTGCATGTAAAAAGATTAATTCAATTTTTAAAACGCTAGTTTGATATCATACTCGATAATAAAAATAGAATAAAATCAGAAAAAAATTCTTCGGAGAAGTAAATAATATTATTGTACACTGTATGTATTTGAATAATTTCAACCAACATACGGTTTATCGAATGTAGCTTTATTACATTTCTCGTTTAATTCACGAAAGAAGCTTTATTATACAAGACTCAAATTCAGTGAATCAAGTACAATTATTTATATAAATATAAATGGAATGTTTTCTAGTTAAAAAATTCAACAAATACATATAAATATTTGAGAGAAGAAAAAAAGATGAGAGAATATATAAATTTCGTAATATTATTGTAAAAAGTTAAATTATGTTAATTATGTAAAGTTTCAGCTTGACTAATAATCACTGTTGCGTTAAGCAGTTTTCGAAGTAAAATATCTTATTTACAAAAAAGCGCATTTAAAATTTTAGTATTATGCGCAATGTAGTATGCATTGTTCTGCTTGGACGGATGTAACTGCGTTGCTTCTTTGAATTTTTACATTCAACAGGTTCTAAAAAAATTCTTCAAATAATGCGCATTACGGAAATATAATACCATTGCATTTAGTTAAAGAATCGATTATTTTTTGTTCGACTACTCGTTTAATGCTACGGTATGTCATTCGTGTCAATCGATATATTTCTATAATAAAAATTATTTTTAAGCTCGAGTCTTCTAATCGGCTCGAAGATACAATCTATTTATTATCAATAATAAAAATACATAGGAAATTAACCATTAACTTTTATTAAAAATCACATTCACGTTCTATTGCTTTCCAAAAATTCACAAATTTAATTACAATCCATTGATTATCGACGTATTAGAAATTGTTATCATGAAATCTTAAATATTTGCTGAAGCAGTCAAACAATACATGATAATAGCCAATTGGAAGTTTATTGTATCTTTTTAGTGATTAGTTACTAGTGCGCTAATTGAGGTCAATGATATTTAACTTTCATCAATTATTGATGCTTCTTCGCAAAACTGATTTGCGCTGCTATTTTACAATTATGATACAGCAAAAGCTCAATTAATGGATTCTCGAGACTTCATATTCAGATAATATTCTTGCGAACCTTTTGTTCGAGATAGAAGTAAAAAAAAAAAAAAAAAAAAAATTAAAATAAATGTAGTACAAAGGAATGAAAAATTCACCAACGCTTTGAAAATTCACTGTTTAAGCTTTAAGAAGAAAAAATTCACAGTAGTTAAAAAATTATTGCGCAGCACTTTTAACACACCTTAAATAGTTCAAGCTCCGAGTGTAACAAGCATCTGTGAAAAGTATTACGAATAAAAGGAACAATCAGATTTTTCTCGTAAAATGATTGTACAATAATGATGAGCATTTTGCGCTCAAAGGCTTCTTAAATTTCTTCAATATTTCCATTTAGGTAAATAATACATTAGCAAGTAAGTCGGATAGAGTTTTTCAACAGAAAATAGCGTACAGTTTCTTTTACTCACATGTGCAATCACATGCAAAGATGAATGTTGTAAGACTCGTGCTTTGTATTGTATTTTACTTCTTAGAAATCTGTCACTTGTCATATGCAATTATTGAAAGATATTGGCGGAGTAAGAAAGAAAACTGAGATAATTGTGGATTTAGAGAATAAATTATTATTATTATTTTTATTATTATTATTATTATTATTATTATTATTATCTATTATTAAGATATAAAGACGGTAAAAATAGATTGTCAAAGACTTTCACTCATTGAGTATTAATTCATTTTGTCAAATTTTTCCTATTTTTAATTCTTTTGAAAAATGTATTTTAAGCTCATTTGTCAAAGAATAAGTTATATATTGATTGTTTTTTTTCTCTTCAAATTAATATTATTCCAATTTTTTAATTATCAATATATGTATGTATATGAATTTGTGCATATGAATATAAATACAAATATAAACACAAAATAAATAATTATATGTATAAACATATATGTAGAAGCAATTATATAGTAATCAAAATACTAATAAAATGTGATGCATTTCAAATGAGAGTCGGAGAGTCAGAAAAACATTACATTATCAGAGAATAGATAAATTGTTATTTTCAAAAGGCTCTCAATAATTTTCCTATGAAAGAGAGAGAGAGAGAGAGAGAGAGAGAGAGAGAGCGAAATAACATGGATACTTAACATTAATTCTATTCTGCAGTAACATTAATGTATAATTGGTAAGAACAAATTATGTATGCATTAGAACAGTCCCATTCATGTATTTGCAAAATCCTCATTTTCATTTACAATGCCAAGCCCATATTACACGGATATGAGATATATGATAATATATGAGATATGAAATAATGGGAGAATACATACTTTGGAGAAAAAAGTGGCGGCAAAAAATAGTGTAGAGTATTGGATAAAAGGGTCGGGAAAACGAAGCACGAGGCCTCGCACGCATGATCGATGGCATAATAATCAGTGCTTGGCTCGATAAGATAACCTATAATTAAAGTGGCCGCTCTTAGGCTAATGAGCAAAAGGTACCTGAGTATCGGCTCGGGATAGTCTCGCTCCTCTGGTGTGCTCAGGAAGCCCGGCGCGTCATTGACCGCGGACGAGGTGGAGCCGCGGGGTGACCTCGGGCCACCCTCCGGTTCTCCGATCAGGACCTCGGGGAGCTCCTGGCGCGAACCTCGCAACCCCGGATACCGCCATCCTGGAGCGCCGCCTGCACCTGAAATATATAGCCTTGAGTTATGTCGGTCGTATGACTTGTTATCTTCTTGTATTATTGCCAGGTGGTAAGAGGGTACTATACGTTTGGATTTATCGGGATATTTTGGATGATTTACGTCCTTGACCTGCACCATTCTATTTCCGCCCGAAGCTTTAAAATATCAGTTAAACTAGTAGTCCACTATTTGCGCTCCTTTCTTTATTGTAGCCTACATCATTCGCGAATGCGACTCGAGCCGCGCGCCTATATTGATAGAATAACGGACGGGGCGGGGCGGGGCGGGACGGGGGGGGGTGTTTAAAAAAATAACTGAGATATGAAGATACTTTGAGTCAAGTCAGTTTTTGTAATCAATGTTGGCCGTATCAATGCTGTTATTTTGTATGTGAGACGAGCATCTGAATAATTTATTAAATATAAAAGCTCAACGCGTGTCCGTAATTATTATATTATGTTATGGATTAAATTCATTTATATAACGACAATATGGCAATTACATGTTAACATTAACGAGCACTTGCAAATTGGCCATACATTTCATTTTCGTTATATTTTATATACACATGTTGAATTATTATTGCTTTCTCTTTATACTCTTAAATGAGCAATTATATAATACTCACAATTATTTCAATTCACTACTTATTCTACAAAAATTATGTATTTTGTCACTCCAAATTTTAAGAGGAAAAATTAAGCATAAAGAGATTTTTATTCTAAGAGTTTAAACATTATTATACTAATATTTATGTCTAAAATATAAAATAATTCATATTATTAATTCTTGTTTACTTTACCTTAAAGCTAACTTCAATTTATTTGATCGATACTTAAAGCATTAATGGCAAATATTTCTGGACTTGAGCTACTGTTAATGAATTTTAATGGATATAAATATTTGCTTGAATAATTTCCAAATAATTTATTATATATTCTATCGATGTAATTATTAATAGCTTTAGCGTCACGTTCTGATAGTTTATAATTTGAAGAGGACAACCATATTTCGGTTTCAAGTAGAATGATTGCTCGCGTTGTCCTTTTAATGCAACAATATATTAGTTTTTCTTTTCTAAAATTACAGAGATTAGATTCGTTTCACAAAGGATAATTATTATTTTCGTTTAGAGTAATACTGTAATAAATCTTTTAATTACATAATTTAATTATATTTGACTATACTTTCAATGAAAAATTCATAATACATAAACAATTCTTTTCATTGATTTATTAAGATACACTTATATATATATATATATATATATATATATATATATATATAGCCGGGTGATGTGATGATAATCTTTTAATTTGAGTTGTACAGCATAATTTAAATTTTCGTTAAATAATCATAATAAGAGTTTGGTACGGTATACAAAAGTTTGAAAATATCTTCTCTGGAATAGACGGGAAACTATTTTATCAATAAAACTCGCATAGTCTTATTTTTTTTAATTCTCCCCATAAGCATTGAATTCAGATGCATATTTCAAATATACGATTGACCCAAAATAAAATTGTCCTCTCATTCGGAAACATAAATTACTACATTTTTACGTTGAAAACTTTGATATTTTCATGGCAGGAGATTATACATACTTGTTAAATGATTAAATGTAAGAAAATAAAATAACCAAATAAAGATGTATATATAGAAATTTGCTTTTCAATCACTTTTATGAATAAGTAGCAACATATTTTTGGTTTTAAATTTTATTTAATCATCAAAATCTTACGTTTTAATCAGATAATCTCTTTGAATAAAAATAGAGTTCTTGACAAATTTTTCTTCTAAATTGCGTAGACCTACCTAAGAAAAAAAAAAAAGAAAAAGAAAAGAAAAAAGAAAAAAAAATAGTCAATTAAATGCTATTGTCATAAAATTCAGGGCCTTCTATTCTCGTCATTATATAAATGATCGTACAATAGTTAATGGAAATCAAAATTTAAAAGCGTTACGAACCAGAAGATCCGCGTCCTCGGTACAGCTCTGCTGTTTCTCTAGGGCCGTCCGTTGCTCCTGAGAGTCCTTATTGATGCCTTTCGGGATCGCACCGTTGCTTAGTTTCGCTGGGTATACATTTGTTGTTGGACCTGACTCTCTGTGAAAAGCCGGAAAAGCAAAATTGCCCTACTTAATGTTTAACTTGACCGTGCACGGGGATAAAAGATTGACACAAAGGGTGACAAGTATCATGAATAAATTCATTGCACTGGTGTTTGTTCTCTAAAGACTTATTCATATTATGAATGTAGAGTTTTATGCAGTGGCAATGCTTACTATAGGGTTTAAAAATTTTTCATTTATTTGTAAGAGGAATGGATGATAGTGACATTTAAATATTAATAACAGGGGCTCTTAATTTTTTAAACTATAAGCTACGCGAAGGTATAATTTCTTTAACTAGAATTTCATGAAAAAGCATAAATAAATTAAGGCGAAAAAAAATTGAAAATATAATTTATAATCAATAGGTGTATTTTAAGGACGATGCTCTGGTAAAATGAAATAACAATGCGTAAAGTTGAAAATAAAATTGATAGGTATTTTGATCTGTTACTTTAATCAACATCCGAATGACAATTAAAACATTTGTATTTTCCATGTTTATTTAGTGTTCTGAATGTAGTATTATTATAAATAAAATTTCCAATTGATAGACTTCGCTTTAATCGATATACTGAAAATTATAATTTCAATTATTCAAATATAAAGGCGAAAAAGGCCATCGCGGCTTTAAATAAAGTGGAAATCTAAATATAAAAATGACTGGCAAAATGCAATTTTAAATTTTAATTTCAAAGCTCAAATATCTGCCTCTACAATAGCAAATTAATGCTAATAAAATAATATTAGTATTACAACAATAATATTACAGGAATAAACATAAAATATGTTATCGCGAGAGTGAGCTTGAAACGTTAACCTAACATTCACAATGATATGGAATGAAAAGGTGTCGTAAAGACTTATCTCAATTACCTTAATTACCGTTGAAAATTGAGACCGTCCAATAAAACAAGTGCTAATGAATTATAAATAAAGTTACGACTATTATTCGTAGGATGTTCTTTCGTTAAAATTTTCTTAAATGCAATAACGTTGAGTGAACTTTTACAGGCAATCTTCGCACAGGTTAAAAGAAAAATTTGAATATTAGCAATGAACAAAACGGGAAGGACTACTTATTGCACGCGCCACGAGAACGTAAAAGAAGAAATTACGAAAAGGAAATATTCTCCTCTAACTATCGTTTCTTCCTAATGCACAGTGTAAATGTCCAGCAGTGCTCGAGCAAAACGCGCCGTAAAATAACGAAATGTACAGATATTGTGCGTAAGTGTCGGTTAATGATTATACGCTGAATGAAGAACGTAGCGAATTCTCATGGGCTCGAGTAGGTTCGATTGGAAAGAAGCGCCGGAGAAAGAAGAGACAGACAAGATAAAGCCCGCGATTGCTGATGGGGAAAGGGACAGAAAAGGTGGAAGTACTTGGTGGACGTTCGGCTGATCGGGCTGTTTCGTCGTTCCCGTATGACCTTGGCCGTGCGAGACTCCTCGAGACCAGGATGCCGTCAAAGCGTCCCAGCAACCGCGACCGGAGACGCGGCATTTCGCTAGGGATTTTCTGGGTTACGTTGCTCTTTGAGCGTTAATTTTCTCGACCGCGAATACGTTCGGAGCGCCCGTGCGAAAAACCTTCCCTCTTAACTCGTAAATGAAAAGTGATCGTATATTTTTATCCGAATGGGCGGTTACGTTGATACTTCGTTTGAGTTTATTTTCCATTTAAGGATTAATTGTTTTTAATTTCTGAAAAACAAAAACCTTTAATCAAGGTATTTGTAAATCTGTATGCCGAGAGTGTGAAGTTGGATTCACAAATCTAGATAGATGCGAATGTTTAACAATAGCGTTTCATTATTCGCTCAATGTATTTATGAAACATATCGAGTTTGTTTATTGAAAATAATGCAATTGATCGTTTATTTTGTTTAATAATGGATCTGTAAAATATTAATGGAATACGAAATGGTATGAAAAATTTATGACATTTTTTTAATAAACCAATTATGATTTACTTCTTCAATTGAAATATTGAAAATTAAATTCCATAAAAGCACAGAGTAATTAAAATTATAAATGAAATTCATGAAATTGATTGGAAATATTCGGATTATTCCGTATAGTGAAATATTTTTTCCTACCCGTAGGACATATGCATTTTAGGAATTTCGAAACGCTGTAATATTAAACAACGATTTATAAAATTCATCAAAGCCATTTGCGTAAGTACTACATTAAACAATAATGTAAAACATAATTATAGTGATTAATAATCGATTATATGTCATCTGATTTTTCTCTATCCTATACTGATAATTCATGAGCAGGCAATAGTTGTTTTTAATCACTTTGGCTTATTAAACTAACAAATAATTTTCTTTTTTGCACTGCTTAGGCAATTTCAAGTACATAAAATGCAGATTTTAATTCATAAATACATTTTGAACATAATATATGAGTAATTGTTACTTGAGATTTTTACAAATATACATCATGAAACCTTGAATTATATAATTTAATGTGAAAAGATTTAGTGTAAATATAATTGTACAAATACAGAAGTTGGAACTGCTAATGAGATATGATAGGTGTAAGAAAAGAAAATGGTACTTGTACTTGAAACATTGTTCCCATAAGAGAAAATTATTAAGTACATAAATGAAATATACTGATATCAAATACTAACCTTGTAATTATTTATTATTTTATTTATTTATTTATTTATTTATTTATTTATTTATTTTTTTTTTTTGAGCATTCAATTAGTTGTTCGTTAATCATATTACCGGCAATGCGTTTAATTTTTTTCATAACAGACTTAAGATCCATATATATCTGCAATGAACAACTTTAAGGTTAGCAACAATGTACCCGAGTAATGTAATAGGCAATACAACCACAAGCATTTATTATGAAATGCCTTTTATTGCAAGTGTTACACATCATGGATGTGTCATGTTGTTCACGACTTCACTACTCTACTCACAGCTAATTTAATTTCAATTTTCTACATTTATAAAGACAGAAAATCATTTCTCTATGAAGTTTTATCTTTTCTACAACATGATGTTTCACGCGTATTCATTGGAGAACAAAAATTAGCGTAAAATAAAATGATGAAAGTTATTAAAAATTAATATTTAGGCTTTGCCTTAATTTTGCATTTGACTTGTTTCAATTTTTTTTTCTCAACTTTTTTCAATTAAAGTGTTAACAATCAAAAGATTATTTAAATTTAATTATTAAAGATGAGCTTCAATAATACTGAGCAATAATTTTCTTTTTATATAAAACAAAATATTCGACATAATTATAATTATCGTTGGAATTTTATTATGTGAAAATAAAAAAAAAAATTCATTTCCAAAAATAATAAGGAGGTAAAGCGACAATGACACTAAAGTGTTTAAATGTAAAAGTAGACACTCTTTATGTATATATATATATATATATATATATATATATATATATATATATAATAATTTATATTAATGTCAAAATGAATAAATTAATACACTGATTACTCATTAGCATTATATGAAAAAGTACTTTTTATGGGCATAATATTACTGCCGAACGAATTTAGAAAAAAATTGAATTGCGCAATAGAGAAATCCTTACTTGTCGGAAAGTGTCACCGTGATTTGGCTGCTCGTCGCATCTTTGTCGGTGGGCTCGTCGCTCGTTGAAGCGGCTCCACCTTCGGTTATCTGAAAAGATCGGAGTTTCTTTATTCGACGCTACTCCATTGCCATGGAAAAATCAATTTTCCGTAAGAAAATCCTATAAAAATTTCTGTGCCCCGTTTCTTCTTAGTTTTTTGTTGATGCGCGTTCGTGTATTATAATGCGTGTTGCTGCACGTTTGTGTATTTGGATGCCAGTTAGTGCGTGCGCGATCGCGCGTACGCTCGCGAGCGCGCGTGTGTGTGTGTGCGTTCGCGCAAGCGCGCATCCACAAGCTGACACGAAAATAGACTTTCAAAGAAGGACTTAGCGGTACTACCTCGGAGTGAGTTCCGACAGTTATTCTGAATAAATAAATCGCTTTTCCGTATTCTAATATTTCAAAAGTGTCAAGCTTTAAATATTCGTTTAGAATGTTTCGACGGGTAATTTTTTATTTATGAAACGCAACGCCATTTCTTTTGATTTTAGTCTCGTCCGTTTTTCGGTTACCCTATGTAATGCAATCGCTACATAATACTTTATCACATTATAGTTTGTAATTTACCACAGGCTTGGGCTTAATAAATAACGCATTTGCATAATACGCGTAGAGCCCCAAAATTGTTTGTTAAGAATATGCAAATAGTAAGGCAAAGAATAATGCAGTAAAAACAAAGTGTTATCACGTAATAAGGAAAAAGCGTACGAACGAAACGGTAGATTAATCGCAATTGACGATCTATTATTGCATAACGAATGAAAAAGGAAAAGGAATGGAAGGAGAATCTAATATTGGCGGAAATTTATATCAGCTGCACAATCGCACATGGGTGTGTGCGCATATGCGCAGGTTGCATATTCGCGATGAAGAAGCTCATCGTACATTCGCAATCAAGGCCACACAATTCTCCTATTTTCTCCCCTTAGAGTTACTTTGCATTTTACATTTTCACTCGAGTGCGGTAAGCTGTCGTTGTTCAACTACTACTAGAATTTATGTGACGAAGACAAAAAAATAATGGGATTAATTTATACCGCAGAGCTGGGCTTTCTTTCTCAAGAACATGATTTGACGATAAATTAGTTTATATTCTTGCTGACCCTATTCTTAGTCAGTTAATGAATTATTTTTGTTATAAATAATGGTAACGTAACTAGTGGGATGCTTTGACGTATTATTAGAATAACAATATAGGGAGCATAAGTTATTACGATATAAATTGCTAATGTATGTAAATATATAATTAAGATTTGAGATTGAGCAATTTAGTTTCAATATCGCCGGGAACATACACAGACACTGTATAACTAAAAGAGAACATGAATTATTAAATATAGTTGGCTATAATAAAGTATGTACTATAATTAAGCTTAATAATTCAACAAATTAGAGGCAATAACTTTGAATGCTCATAGATTTGGAATATTTGAATAGATAAAACTAATTTGCCCGTGTGCTAGATTGATGTGCGTTAAAATTTGAAAACTCCAATTCCGTGGCGATCTTGCTTAGTGTTGAAAGTCTGGTACTTCCAAGATTCAATGTTTTCAGCTTAATCAGAATTCAAATACCAGAGACACATATTTCAGCCCTATGACCTTAGGGATTTTAAGCTTAATGTCCCAGGCTTCCAATACTGAGATAAGACGGCATCAGTTGGCACTATTTAATTTCAATTTGTGTAAGTCTTTTTCACAACCAAATACATCCTGTATTTTTCTGCGCATTAATTTTACGTCATTTTAATGCTCTTTTAACAACTGCATTTTCTTTATTAAGACAAAACTTAATACACAATGATAGTAAGTATGAATGAATGTCTCTTCATAATATATACATTTTGAAATTTACAAGTGCATAATTGAAAAGAACATAGGGAAAAAAATATATATATATATATATATATCTAAATTAGGATACCTAAGATATTAATTTCATACTGAGTCTAAAACTGTATTGTTGGCTTCCAAATGACAAAAACTTGCAAAATACATACATATACGCGAAGGAATACGAATTTTCTAAAAATAATATATAAAATAATATATGCATTTCCAGCTATTTTTAAGCCGATAAAAAATTCTCTTAAAGCATTTCACAAGATGATTCTGCAATAAAATTGTAATAATACTTTTACGAATATACAAACAATTGTAATGAAATTTTATTCTAACAAAATAAAATTTATTTTTTAAATAAAAATTTATTAAAATTTTGAATGACATTTTTTTTTTTTTTAATTACTTTAAAGACATTTTATGTTAAATTAAATATATCTCGCACTTACAATTACAGCTATAATTTTTTTGCATTTAAAAATTTTATTATTAGTGAAAAAATAACATCATTTAAAAAGAGATAAATTTACCAGGAAAATAATTTAAATATCACTTTACGGAAATGCTTAGATATTACAAATTGCCTCGTTTCAGTCAACCTATTAAAAATTAAATTAATTTTTTAAGATTATATTAATTATATAACAATACTTAGAGATGTACATATATATTAAATATTTTCAAATGTACGTGGCAAAGTATTGTTATATAATTATAAAACTGAATTTGTATGTTAATAAACTGAATGCATGTTAATAGATTTATATTTAGTTATTTTTATATAGTTTATATTTTAATACAACGAATGATTTCGAAAAGACAGTTTATTATCAATGTAGTAGAGAAATTATATTTGTATATTTTTGCTTTTATATATTTTGATGTAAGACTGGTATATCTATTAATAATTTAATAAATACATGTTAATTTTATATATGCATATATTTTACATAAGCTTTATTGTTTGTGAGCTATATGTCGTGCGCACTACTACTTACAACTAATACTAGAATATATTAAGTAAAAATACAATGGTTTAGTAGTGGGTTAAATTAGTGAATTTTAGTCGATAATATATATTTTTAATATTTAGGTAATAGTAATTAAAAAACTAAATATATTTTATGTTTACAAAAATATAAACTATAATTGGAAGTATATGATGAATAATTAATAACGCCTATTCAAAGCACACGATACTATCTTTCAGATAATGTATTTATACTTTGACCAGATAAAAAATAAAAAGAATTACGCAGTTTAATTAGAGTTTGCTTTTCTTAGAATACTTTTGATTTTACCATTTAAATATAATTCGATATGTAATTTGTGAAAATGCTAGATTGGTTATAATAAAAAAACAATTGATATTCATAATTTTTTTATATTAATGTTAATATTAGACGTATATCTTATATAAAATTTAAATACATATATTCTTAAGCAAAATATTTTCTTCGTATTGTTCTTTTATTACATTTTAGGAACTGCAAATAACACATGTGATCTGCTTCATAAATTTATTAGAATGCATATAGTTACATATATATATATATATATATATATATATATATATAGAAAGTTACGAGTATGTATTATTGCAAATATGTGCATATTCGTATAAATTTATGCAACATATAGTTATGTAGATGATATAACATATGGCTTCACCACTTTTTTGAGTTTCTAATAATGGACAAACATTACTTATATATAATAAATTATCACTGTAACGAAGTATCATTCCATGGAATATGTAATGATATTTTTTGACAATAAAGCCTAAGTTTCTCACAAAAATATCTTCCAATCATTGTTAGATACGAGCAATAATATTGGAAAAAGCCATTTATATCTATCAATAATAAAATATAAATTATAATAGTGACAAGCTTAGATAAGTAATACAGCACTGTTTCATTAAATCATGGAAAAAGAGTCAGTGTTCATTCATATGCAACTTTTGAATTTATAAAAAAACCAATAGAATAGAAAAAAATATTTATTATTTAACTAGTGAAATAAGTTTTCCGTTAAAGCGGCAATTTTCTTTACATATCAATAGTGCACAAAGTATTTTTTTGCACAATAGTTATGGCAACGATATTCATTGCAATTTACTGAATTTCCGTGTCAATTATACATAAAATAAAACCACAATAGCCTTGATAATAAGATTTACAGATTATTCCATTATGTTAAAAAATAATATTCATGTACTTCATGCAGTAACAAACTCGTCGAATGATTTATATTGAATAGAAAACAAGTATTTAAGATACTTGCAAAAGACAATTATGTAACTTTCTTTTCTACAGAAAGCATTTAGTTCAATTATATACTAAAAGATAATCACAATAGCGTTTTTCAAGTATTTTTAGGAAATTTTTGGACATTATTTTACAGCGCAATGTACGAGAGAGAATATCTTTTCCGTCGACAGAAATTCCATCGACCAAGTGTTGTGCTTTTACATCCGAAGCTCGTTCACTAATGCGGTTAGTACGTTGACTACTCGCATAATTAAAGAAAATTTTTTTTTATGACGATCAAAGGAATATAAAAGAGTGGAAAATATAAAATGTAAAAGAAGACAAAAGCGTTCAACGTTATAAGGAAAAATTTATAAAATTTACTCTTGACAGTCTGCGTGTTGAACGTGACAAGTAATAATAATGGCTTAGTAAGTTTCACCTAGCAATTCTAGTAGCCGTTGCATTAAAATTTACGTAAATACGTAAATTATTACAAATAATGCTGTCGAGATGCGTTTATTTTTGTTTATTCCGAAGGATGTTACATAATGCATTTGAGCGTCGGAGGGAAAAGTAAAAAAATAAAAATTTGTTTTAGTACTTTCTGGAATGCAAAACTGAAATCTTTACTAGCGTCGCTCCAATTAGCAGCAGATTGCATTTATTCACATGGCACACACTCACAAAAGGCGAGGATAACTCAAATTTTCCCTCAGACTTTTTTCTGGGATGTCCGATTTTTCTCCTACGGATTAAGCTCGAGATTTTCCGGATCGACGCCGCATCGGAGCATCGATTATGTAGGCAGAAAAAGTTAAAAAAAGAGAGGGAATGAGGGAATAGGAGAGAGGGAATGAGAGAATGAGGGAATAAGAGTGAGAGAGAGAAAGAGAGAGAGAGAGAGAGAGAGAGAGAGATCGATTGTCTATGTGTGAGAGCTGTATACGTGCCTTAAGCGTTAACCTACATTTTAATCGGTGCACAGGATAGCCCGGATTTATCGCGCTATATAACGTGCTTTTCTGTACGCGAATTACGCGATCTTTTTCGCGGACTTTTCCGCGGAATTCAGAGCTGTGCATTTAACGGTTACCTATTCTCTCTCTCTCTCTCTTCTTTCTTGTAGCCATTCATTATGTCGACGACGCTTTTTGCTATATCGGCTATATTGACGTCGAGTCTGAAATTACGTGGAGGAGGTGGAATCGAGGTCTAGCTGGAATTTTCGCGTAATTTTCGCTCCACTAAATAGTCGGCACATGGGGGGGGGAGGTTGGAGCAAAGTGGCACGTACAGAGCGCAGACGTGAAAAGAGAAAAAATATTTACTGACTACAGCATCTTTTTTCTTCCTAGTAGAATCGCATCACTTTAAAATGAGAATACCGTAATAGGTTAAGTGTTAAGAGGTTGAGCACCAACGACCTTCACCGACCGCACGTCAATAAATGTCTTTCATTTAAGACGTACTTAGTCTTATGAAAAACTTAGGCTCTGTTGCTCTCCACACACCTACGATCACCCATCACTACACACAAACTTGGAGTGAAATATTTTCGACGTTAAATATTACTGTATAAGGTATTAAATTGTTTGTTTGAAACTCTTTCAAATGATGTATATATATATATATATATATGTGTGTGTGTGTGTGTGTGTGTGTGTGTGTTGTGTGTGTTTGTGTGTGTTGTGTTTGTGTGTGTTGTGTTTGTGTTTGTGTGTTTGTGTGTGTGTGTGTGTGTGTGTATGCGCGCGCGTGCGTGCGTGCGTGCTACGAGGGCGTAGTTAATGATATTATATAAATGTAAGAAGTCGTAATTTATTTATGCACAATGAGAGAAATGGTAGTTATTTGCATGGAGAAAATATGATCTTATTAGCAATGCTAAGAAAAATTATAAAAATTGCTATACCAATATATATATCACGAGTTGAAGGACTAAGTATTCGAGCAAAAGCATTTCTTCGCTTTCAAAAATATATACGAGTAATAAGATTAAATTAGCATTAATATCCTAGTGTATAAATATTATAATAATAAATATGAATGCTAATTATTTTGCACGTATCATAATAACTTTATTTTTATTCAATATGTTCATTATGTTACAATTACAATGGAAAAACTTCGTAAATTAATTTCTGTATTTAAAGAATCTATATAAAAAATTTCTATCGTTTAACTGTTTTTATTAAACTGTAGCTTAAGCGAAACGGACGGAAGTAAAAAATTTGGATTACAAAATAATTACATAAGCATTGATTAAGCCGTGGATTTTCAATTGGTAAGTACGTAATGTCTAAAATGTAGTAAAAGAAGAAGCGCCAATCAATTCGTAAATGCCATAAAACGTAATTGCGTTGGAATTGCAAATTTAAGAGATAGAACAATTTTTTCGGTGAATCGTACAATTCTCATTTTGAAAGTGGATATTCACCATCGGCGAAAAATATAAATTCCAATATTAAATAAATAACTAATTATAATCCAAGTCTGTTGTTATTATCTATTTATGGAATCGAGTATAAAGTAGAAAGCGCATTACATATCATACATAGAGTAATAGACGACAGATCCTGAATCCCTGCCAACAGCGTCATTGAACTCGAACGCGATAAAGTAGAGAAGGAGAGGGGAAAAAAGCCGAGGAGGAAATCGACGCACTTGACCGAGAAGAAACGGGACGAGACGCAGTATATCTCTCTCTCTCTCTCTCTCTCTCTCTCTCTCTCTCTCTCTGCCTCTCTGTTTGTGTGTGTGTGTGTGTGTGTGTGTGCGCGCGCGCACGCGTGTGGGCGCGTTTGTGAGAAAGAGAGAGAGAGAGAGAGAGAGAAATGCTGGATCGGAGATTCGCCGAAAGCGAAGGCGGCACTGCACGAGCATAATACCGAATCACGCTCTCGCTTTCGCCAATACTTACGCACTCGCTCCCAGTGCTCTCGTAAGTTACGTTTTGCCAACGTACCTGTTGATGCAATATCGCCTGAATATCTCGAGGCTGGATCCTCCTCAATGCGGTCAGCTTCTGCAGTCGTTCCCTCGCGCCTCTGCAAACACGCATAAATTTTCCACATTAGCGTTATTAATGAATGAGTGGCTCACGCCTCGTACGAGCTGCGGGCGTTACACACACTCGCACTTTCAACAACCGAGCTTTCCGTTTTGTTAAGTCCGTTTTGTCTTCGCTAAGAGTTACTTTATCAATTGTACAAGCCGAGTAATCCGACGAATTTCTCCTTAACATCCCCCTCCCCCTTACCCCTTCCGCTTATCCCACCCTCTCGCCTACCGACTTCAATCCCTTATTACCGCGGAATTATCCCTGCCCGACTTTTTCGATAATGCCCGTAATTAGAGCTAAATTTCGCGTATGCGTATCGCAATTTTCACTTTCCTTGTACTGCTTAATGTGCAGGGAGATGACTTTCTAGGAAAAATTATTGCTCTCCTACTAGTGGTGACTCGAGGAAGCACTCAGCATTGTAAGGAAAATTGCTAAAGTCTTACTACTTTCCGTTAAAAAGGAACAGCAAAAAGAAAAAATAAGGAAAGAAACAAAAGAAAAGAAGAAGAAAAAAAGAGAGAAAAAAAAGTATTTTTTATATCGCAAAACCCGAGCATTTTTCCAGCTACGCATCAAGCACTGTAATTTCCTTATGTGTGCGCGGTTTCGTTCCCTATAATCTCACGCGAATGTAACACACGCGCATATTATATAGGTGATTCTGGTCGTGAGAAGCTAGATAAAAGCAATGCTCGCCGAGATTAATGGACGAAGAATTTCGAACGTTCGTTCATTCCAACATTAGAGCCGCGAACGCATATATATGTGTGTGTATATATATATATATATATATCTTACGTTATGTTTTTCTACTGAAAATACAAAAGCTCGTTTTAACAAGCTTAATAAAAATTAAACATAATCTTCCGCGTCTCAAAATGTTCGCTTTGGTGTATCACTAGGATTTTTGATTTTTGACATCTATTCAATTTGTTTTATAATCGTGAAATTCAGTGGCATTCTTGATGCGAAATGTCTTACATGCGAGAAAGAGACATGTTTTTGTATTATGAATACGCGAAGAAGTGGAATTTACTCTTAATTACAAAAATCGTTTGACGAAAATTCTTTAAAAGGGATTTTCATATTTTCCTCCATATTATGTATACTAACAAGTGCTACGAGGTTAGTTGTTTTTTTTTTTTTTTTTTAGTCCACGTAAATGATCTTTAAAATTCAGAACATTTAATCTCATGTAATTTTAATTGAGGTAGCTTTTACGTCGTTCCATCTTGATAGGAGTAAAATTTACTTAGCTAGAAAGTTCATGAAAACTATGTTATTTCTATATAACGGATTGTGAATCTGTAATTATATTAATTTGAGAAAATTTGTTGAATATCAAGTGACGTCGATATCCGAATAAACTCACTGGCTATTCTATAAATCGTTTATTAAGCATAACTAAGAGTAATTTGAAAAATTTCTTATTCACCTACTGTCGCACATAATACTTCGGCATATTATTTTCTTCGCGCACTATTCACGTAATTTATCATAAATGAATATAAATTGTATATTGTTATTTAGAATATAAATTTTCAATTCATATATATATCGATATTTTCTATTTTGTAACTATATTTAGAGTACGCGCGCACTTGTTGATTATGTATGGTTCACGTATAAAATATTTGTTCAAGTGTTCTTGAAACACGTTATATAAATAATTCTAACTGTATTTCCGAGGAAATCATTAAATATTGCTTGTCGTGAAATTTTACTTCTCAAGATAATGAAAGATTCGTTATATAAAGATTGATTGATTACTTTCAAATCTTTATTACTTATAAAATGACAAGAAAATACTACCAGCACGACCAGAATCACATAATATACAGATGTGCTCTTTAGTTATCCTTAAAAAGTATTTGAGAAGAATTGCCGCATAAATTGCCGTAAAATTCTCATAAAAATAGTATAATTTTATGAATTATTAAAAACTTATGGATAAGTTCGGATGTTTCTAAGAAACTCCAGTTATTCGAGCATTAGCCAGGCTTCTCTTTTAATTAATTATGTTTTTAAGAGAAAACTTACCTCTCGACGGCGATGACCCAAGCGTCTCTGATTCCTCCGGTGCTTGATCCATCCAATACTTCTACCACAAAACGAACTCGATTAGCTCAGAAAATGACAAAAATTCTTTTACAATTATATTATTCATTGATTATTTTATTTTATTTTTTCTCATAAAGCTTTTCTCCTAGTCGCTTTCCCATCGAGCATTATTTATCTCGATATCGTGTTTAAGCGATGGCTTTAGTGTCGTCAAATCGATAGTCAAGTCCAGGAGTGGAAAAGACCGTATCGGTGAGATTGATTCAAAATTTGATATTTTGACAATATACGAAGCATTTACGTTATCAATTGTTTCCCAAGATATTCTTCACTATGAGAAAGATTTTTTCCAAAAATTTCAGTGTCACAGAAGTAATACGATTCTTTCATATTTTAATATCACTACTTAGTAAAATTATTAGTGCAAAAACTCTTTCAAACATTACTTTTAACTTGTATTAATAAATTGTTTATATTAGAGTATTAGTTCACCTCCATCGTGATCACCCGTATAACAATTGAAAAAATTACCAATTACCTGTAATAAATATAACCGATCTTTATAAATAATCTTTTGCATTTTCTATAAGAAATTGTTTTTATTCCGTTATGTTTATATGTTTATATGTTTATACTATTAACGAATGTAACGATCGTTATCTAATACAGCAATTAAATATTTGTATTAAATATTGCATTATATTTATTTGTTTGACATTATCTTATTGTTACCTATTAATATAATCGTTTATTAGATATTAATTATATAATGCCAGATCACCCATGCAAATCTTTGTTGCAACTCGGGATGAGTACGGAGTTGAGAAATTAAATAATATGTTACTTCGAGTACACTTTTGAGTAATATTAAAAGAAAAAATTATCGTCGGGATCCGACTCATTTTTGAGCGGAGGGAAAAGTCTTTTGGCAAATTAATTGTCAAGCATCTATCAGCTTCGCATTTGAAGGAGAGAGAATCAATACGTTATCGCACTATTTTTATTAGAGAAGTTGTAAGATAAATTACACGATTAATACTGTTAGCTTCGTATTATCGAAATAAAAAGTAATTTTTAGTCTATGTCGATTAAAAATTAGAAAATCAATTTTTAAATATATGCTTTACTATTGATGTAACAGTCGGGTGGATATTCGCTTAAAATTAACATGATAGAATTATAATATAATTAAATGCTACATTTGATCAAAATTCAGACTTTTTAATCATGAAGATATTTAGGTCACTTTTCTCTTGACTAATCGTGTGACTTTACGTTCTAAAAATTTAAATCAAGAACGCGAACATTGAACTTTAAATACATTTTACTGATATATTTGTAGATTCACAATTTCATTACAAATATTTAATAAAATACGTTGACATTACGCAAATTACTTTTCATTTTTAAGTAACATAAGTAGGAAAAGTAATTACAATTATAACATTGATAATGATTACACTTGCATTAATTTTGTTTTAGATTTTTCGCAAAACTATATATTCCTAAAATTGTTATCACTTTAATTTCCACCGAATTTTTTTCCTCCATTATTTACGACCTTAAAACTTGTAAAGCTTATCATTAAAAAGAAAAGAAAAAATAATAAATAAATAAAAAAAATATTTTACACAGCCGTTACAAAGGTATGCAATGGTATAAATTCAAGAAATTCAGGACTTTTATATTTTTAAAGGAAATAATCTTTAAAAATTTACTTATTAAATGACGTACACTTATGAAATTATATAAATATATAAATATATAAATATATAACATGGTTACTTTATTTTTTTCAACCGACCTAATACAATTCATAATACATAAAATATATTTTTAAAAACATTTTTATATATTTCATAATTAATATTAAATTTAAAAAGAAAACATTTCACTATTTAATAATAATTATTGACTAAGTCAGTTTATAGATTACTAAAAACAATTGTAAATTCGCTGATATATAAAAAAAGAAATGCTTAAATTACAAGCATTTTTCAAACCGCGTATCGCATATTTAACAATAGCGCAAAATTATTTTTTTTTTAAATAAAAATTTTTTTTTATATATAATACAAGAATATAATAAAAAATTTATCACTTTATCGTAATTGCTATCAATCGTATATTTATTTAAACTCACAACGATAGTCCATCTATTTTCTGTCTAAATTCCCATCATTAAAATCTTTAAATAATTTCCAAGCCTTTTTAAAGAAGAAATTTTCTCTCGAGACTGTCAAGAAGGAAGCTGTAAGTACATCATGGCCGTTGTTTTGTATACGACACAATTTCAATTTTGATCTGATAATATCAATTATTCCTTGCAGGCTATTTTCACTGGAGCGGCCAATGTAGACTTAACGAATGCGTATATGAGCTATCGATCAATTTCAATTTAAGGTCAAGGAACAATATTTCCACTTCCGCCGCTGGAAAACTTGGAACACTTCAGAGTTCTCATTAACCCCAACCCCCCCCCCCTCCCGCGCGCACACTCGCGCGCATATATATATATATATATATATATATACGCGCTTGTGTGTGGGGTGTGATTGCGTGTGCGCGCGCGCATGCGCATTCGCGCGTGTGCCTGTATATATATATATATATATAAATAGGACGACGAAAAAGAAAATAATAGTACATCTAAATTTACATCTCGATTGTTGAATTTTTAAGTGGTCTTGAGTTTATGATTATTATATATGAATAATATCTTTTATTATATGTAAGCCATTATATCTATAAAAAGCTAGTACACTATTTTCGGATATTTCTATTAAGGTTCTTTATTAATATTTATCTATTTTTTCTTATAAAGAACGAATTTTTATGAAAAAACGTTAGTGAAGATAAAAAATATTTTTTAAATGATCTACATTAAAAACCATGCAATTTTCATACAAGTCATACGATACTTAAATTAAGTTTATTAAAATTTTTTGATCATAATTACAAATGAAATAATAACTAGCAAGTTCTTTAGATAATACTGATATACAAATATTAAGTTTTATAGTTTCGAATTTGCCAAAGTTTACACATAAAGGAAGTGATATAAGTGAAGGTCTCTCTCTCTCTCTCTCTCTCTCTCTCTCTCTCTCTCCTCTATGTATGTATGTGCGCAGATTGTAATTATCTTTATAACTAATTTAAAACAATTCAAAGTATCATATTATGACATATTACACGTTTGAATGGTGTGGATTAGGACAGAATATGACAACTCGAATCAGAATGTTATAAAATCAATATATTTAAGAAGTTTTAAATTCAGATTGGACGAAAATACTACCCTACTATTGCATATATTGAGTTGAAATATTTTTTAAGTAAATAATAAAAATATATCGATTCCTTATTAAGGGAATATAGATGAAAAATTTAATCTACATTTATTATCCAATAATATTTATTTGTTACATTTTATATTATTTCAATACAAATTGTTTTTAATAATGAACTCTGGAACAACGAAATATAGACAATAATCTAAATCTAGAGAAAGTTAGCGCGACATCCCTTTCATTCAGCCAGAGGTCATTCATATATTTTTTTTAAATTATTTCGAATGCGATTTAGTTTTATTTCGTTGGATTTTTAATTTATTGTACGTAGTATACAATAGATTAGTAAGAATATATTTCCGCTACAGTTCGTCCATACTTGGTTGATAGTAGTAAAAGTTTTTAATATTTTAATTGGTTTAAGGAATAATATTGAAAAAATTTTCTTGTACATATTATAATATTCTCAACTCTTTAAATATTTTGTTAAAATTACAAATATAATTTCACATGAATTCGTCATTTCAAATACTTTTGATATCTATTCATTTTACATCTATTTTTATATCTTATAAAGTGATTGTATTCGAATAAGTATATCTAATATTATTTCAATTACTATACATATGCTTATGAAAACATAAGAAAAAAGAAAATAGTCATAAATTTAAAAATTCGATAACAGAATTACTAGAGTTGAAATCTCATTAAATCCCATTACTAACATATATATATATATATATATATATATATATATACGATAGGATATATATAATATTAATGAAATCGAACGCATTCAATTTGTACAATGTAATATATAAAATTTAATTTAATTTATTTAAAAGTGATAAGATATGTAATGTTAAATATGTGAAATTAATTCACGAGATTCGTGTTACTTTTTTTAACGTTCCAATATGAAATATAAATTTTTTAAATATTAAGTAAACCAAGCAGTTGTAAAAGAGTTGTTTTTTATTGCATTGATAAATATTGCATTCAATAATACCATTATGTTTATATAAAAGATCTTAAAATTATTGACTTCTTAACGAAAATAGGGAAAACAAGTGTCATACTACTACTACCACCTTGTTTTGCAAATAAAAATTTGAAGCGTATTTTTTTAAATATTATATCATTATAAATATTTTTTACATCGATAATTTTTAACAAAGACTGAAATGAACTAAAAGTATTTAAGCTTTTAAAAAGTATATTAGTTTTTTGTTACAATAGTATTTGATGAAATTGGATTTAAAAAATCGAAATATTTAGGACCATATAATTGAAATTCAATGTTTATTTAACAAATTATTTTAATGTCTATTTTATAATTTTATTCTTATTGCATGTTTTTCCTACTATACTATGTACATATAAATCCGTAATATAAAGTAAATGATAAATTATATATTTATTTTGTTATCGTAAAAATTATAATTCTAGACAAGTTAAAAAATGACAGAGATATAAAATTTGATGCTATCGCAAATATGACCTTTTATCATAGCGATTTGTTTATAATTTGCGATACCCGTAGACTCTACGTCGAATACCATAATTAATTTATCATTAATTAAACTACAGTTTTTAACAATTGAATAATGCTGATTTCATCCAACAATATTAGCTGTCTTTTCATAAGATTTTTATTTAAAATTATATCCATTGAAAGAACTTTAAAACATAATTCATTTCCTATTCCTTTTATATTGTAAACATTACTTTTCATTATAAATATATGTCCGTTCGTATGTATTATAAATAATAAGTATTGTAAACTGTATTTACAAGTTATCAATAAAACTAATTGAAAGCAAGCTTTTCGTTTTTAATTTGTTAAATTTCAATAAATTAATTAAAGCGCCGCAATCAAGATTTATTATTAATTCGCGCTGTTAATCGATCTGTTATCAAAATTTAAATAAATAACAATGCTTTTAAGCCATTGTAATTACATATTTTATCATTAAAGATTCTTTACAGGAGAGTTCGGAGATATGCGTAGAAAAATATGTAATGAAAAAGGACGACATTGGAGAGATATACTTGATGGTAGCGCTATCAAGTTAGCCAACTGACAGGATCTCATGTTAAACCAGAGCGCAAGGAATTAAAATAAAACAAATTCAATAATGAAGCGGTAGCTCTTTTAAATAATTAATAGCATGTGTTTACACATCCGGCAGAAGCATCGCTCAATTCATTCCAACATCATGAGATAATTCCATTTATCGGACACGTTACATAAAGCGCAAATATGAAAATTTCCACATGGATAGTGGTAGCGACGCTTCCGCGATTACGTAACGATCACAACAAGCCCATGCATCGTAATCGAGAAAACGGGGAAAAGCTCACACACGTACGCTCATACGCGCACCATCGCACAAGACACTCCTCTATACCATCGTAGGATTCTAGTCGACATATGGGCGCGATGGTTGATTTAGGCTCGGAGACCTCGTCCTCGGCGTCCTCGTCGATGAACTTGACGGATGATAGGTCAAAGTACCTGGCGACGTCGTCGTACTCCTCGTCATCGACAATCAATGCCGAACGCCAACTGGACTCGCCCAGAGTCGGGGATTTCGGCCGACTCGAGACCCGCGACTCATTGATGCAGCCGCACCAGGAGATGCGCTGGAACATCGAGGTGACGCGAGATTTGCTGCCGGGTCGGCGACGCCTAACACCGAGGTCGTCCATTTTGCACTTGTTAACTTTACCACATGCGTGGCGAAAATGTTCCGGCACTAAACGCCACTAGGAGTCGTTTCACGCAAGTTTTGACACTTTTTCGCCCGTGAAAATGCGTCAGCACTTACACAGTCGAACACGTGTATGCATTCATACGTTCCCAGAAGAAAGTCGATTGTCTGTGCCAGATATTTATCTATCCTTTCGAATCGTCTCCGGTGTAAATAGCTTTTGATTTTTCTTTTATATTGCAATAGGAATGGCAGCGCACTTGCAGAAACTTTATTCGAGATATTATAAATCTGTGGATTTTTCAATGGCAAAAGCTGATTAACACTTAGTTTTTTCAAAAATTGTACGAGCGATCATTGTTAAATATAATCACAGCTCGAGTTAAGTTAAGGCAATTAATTTTAAATAATTTGCTGCTCTCGTCTAATAGAATTTCCGTTACGTAATCAAGAAGTCATTATTACAGTGCAAAAATATATGCAACATCCGCTTCCTTGGAACATTAATAATATATGTACAAAACAAAATTACACTCCGTCGCTTCATTTTAACAAAAAGTTTGATAATGCACCAAGTTAACCAATATGCAACTTTTTTATGCGTTTGAACTTTATATTAAAATATTGGAGAAATAATAACTTAAGTAACGCTCTATTATTTGTACAATGTTTCATCATTTTGATAATTAATTTTTTTTTTTTTTTTAATATAACTTAGACATTAATTAAAAATTGCAAATTTTTTGGATTTCGTCAATGAATAATCTCACTTAAAGAATTCTGTGTATATATTTATCGAGAGCAGTGTATTGAATTTTTTTTTTTCAAATTAAAGCTCGTATTAGTTTAAATCGGATTAAATGCATGTGTGGAAGGTTTTAAGTTTATCTAAGAACAACATATTCTAAAATAGAATTTTCGTAATTAAATATTTTTAAGGAGCGTATGCGAATGTAAAAGCCTGCGTACGCGCGCATATATTTACTTTGAAAATTTCCTTTAAAAACTTTGCATCTATCTATCCATCTAGCTATGTGTATATATATATATATATATATATATTTATACCGATAAGGATTATGATATATGTTGTATTTTTATAAGTAATGTAAGAATACTCCAATCCAGGTTTTATAAAACTTTTTCAATCTATAAGGAAAACACTCATTGCTACCTGTTGCAGTTATGAGTTATTAAAAATATATTCTTATTTGCAGAATCTACCCGTATGCGCGTGTAAGCTATGATTTACAGATGACACGAAGTATACATACAGAGAAGATAGAATTTACAGTGAGCATGATTTACAGGATATCTACAGGATATGCATGTAAAAAAAATAAAAAAAAAAGTAAAAGAAAAAAAAAATCTTTTCCAATAAATCGTTTACATCTTTCTTGTGCTAAAGTGACTTGCTATCGTAAAACATAATAATATAACATAAACTTTAATCGTTTAATTGAAAATATTGACTTAAGTAAAGTGTTTCGAAGTGGAAATGATTATTAATGACGTGGCGTTACCAGTGCAAACTAAACGAAAAATCTCTTTATACACAAGAGAAGATAGAACGATTTCGTTGGCTAATACATATCGCCGGAATCGAAGGAATGAAATTAAATCGCATGATTCAGCGAAATGGCAAGAGTTCTCAAACTGCACTTAAATCGGCTCAGCGCAGCAGCTTCCTTCAATCAAGCGGCGTTATTAATCGAAAATCACAATAATAATTAGCGTGTTTAGTCCGTAACCAAAGTCAATATCGTCGCGACCCGTCTCCTTGGATTTGTTTCGGTGGGTTCGTCGCATGGAAATACGCAGAGAAAAAAATCGCTTTGGCGCGGTCAGCCTTTCGGCAATCGTCAAGCCATTTCCATAATGCGTCACGTGTACACGCCTCCATTCGTAAAGATCCATCGATGTACATTACGCATGCGAGGCACGTACATATTTATGTAAGGAGGCATCTTTCGATCGGACGGACAGCTTATTCCTTCGAAGGAATAAAATTGCAGGGCGTGAATCTGCTTCCTGAATAGGACGGCGCTGACAGTGCACTTGTAACTTAGGGTACGCGAGGACGGCTCGGTTTCCTGAATTATTGCCGTTTAGTGAATAAACGAGCTTAGCTTACGACACGAGCAGCAACGTCTATCGAGTATGTCGATGACGGAACGTGGCTTATTAATTCATTGTTTTGCCAAAAATAAACGGTGATGATACATTAAGCCACCCGCTAACTACAACGACTACATCCGAATTTTTTCACAGCTTTAATATCCTTAGGGCAAAATTTATTAGCTGGAATTTCAATTTATTGGAGCAGCCTCGTGCTCGAGACGCTTATATGAAGTTTCAATTTGCAATATATTAACATCTAAAATGAAATTTTGCACGTTGATGTTTTTCTTTTCTTATTCCGAGAACACTGTATTGTTGTAGTTTGAAAGTGCCAAAGAGTGCCGATTATATATCTTATAAGATTATTGTTGCGTTAAGATATAAGCAAATAAAGTGCCTTAATTCTGCAATAAATATTTTAACGATCAATCACTATATCAAATGTGATTTATAATCGCGTCACTTATTGGTCAATGAAAATTGAAAAATGACCCTATCGATATTTGCACTTTATTCGGTACATTTTTATTTATATCTTATTGAATAATTGACGATTAAACGTGAAATTATGAATAATGATACACTTTTGCTTTCTCACACATCTGAAAGCTTGAGCATTATCGTATTAATATCATAATTATCAATTACTATTTACGATGACGTTAATATTAAGCGGCCCTTTTATGAAACTTATCTTATTATTTAATTATATGTATAAACAAACATAAAAATGCAAATATGTATATATAATAGCAATATTGATAAATAATTGGCGGTGCTATCATACTAAATTGTTATCAATTATTTACATCCTTTACTGGGTCATGCTCTAACGGAAACATGTCAACTTTAATTTCGGCTCTGCGCTCAAATTCAATACCACGACATATAAAAATTCGCTAAGTAGACTCGGTAAATAAAACGAAAATTGTAATTGTTAATAAATAAACGCGTAAAATTAAAGGCATTTTTAATGTCTACCGTATCACGAATTAAAATAGTGGCACTCGAAATTTATAAGACGCTAAGCATAAAATATTATTATACAATTCCTGACTGTTATATTGCTTACACATGGTGGATCTTGACTATTTTCGAATATGAGCTTTGACGCTTTTTTATTTTTAAAGTTCCACGCGCGATGCTTATTATAGGATCTTTCCTGACTTCGTTGCTACTCTGCCTGGAGTTTTGGAATATTTAACGCGAACGGTGGATCGAAAAATTTTAACAAATACCATTAACGCTCTAACAATGTTATCTCCTCTTAATACCTTGAAGAATAACAGATAAATTAAAAGAAAAACGTTACTCCCTTGAAATCGAACTTTGAAAGAAATATAAATTTAGAAAGCAACAGATGAAAATGTTGCTCTTTAATTCGATCGCAAATTTCATTTATCTCTTCCCTTCAAGTCGTCGTTATTTATTCACACAAGATGATACGTTTTATTACCGAAAAAATCAAACAAACAAACCATATAAAATTTGCTTTAATGTTAGCAGTAATTATCTGATCGATTCCTATTACATTTCTGTAATTTGTTTTCATAAGTCACGTCCATTTAAGCATCATAGCATTATACGATAACCGTGATAACAAATTGATATATTGCCGCGAATTTGAGATTTTCATTAATAATCTGCGATTAGTATAAGCTGATAGATTTAAAACATTTCTCCCTCCGGACCAATAATACATTATCTAAGCCAATTACACGCCTTAATGCATTAAGAAGCGAATAATAGAATACGATTCCATAAAGCGATCTATTCGGAATTGAGAAGATAATATTCCAATGTCATACTTGAAATTCCAACTCTTTAAAATTAACATTTATAGAACCTGACTTTTATGTACTTATGAGCAAACGTGCATAATTAACGTTAAAGGGTGGTCAGGCGGCAGTATTTCACGTAGAAATCGCATAAAATGTCATAACACGTCGAAAGTTCCCTCTCATTGTGTTCCGATTTATTACGCTTGTTTGACGTCCTCATAATGAAATTGTTGAAATGTCTGTTGAGAAACGGCTTGGACGTAAAGAAGTTCAAAAAATGTAAATTAATTTACTATGTTTCTTTAATATTGTCGATCACTTTGCGTTATCCTCTCGATATTTAAAGTACAGAGCCGACGAATCAACTTCCCGCCGACATTTTCATAAATAAATATGCAAAATGTTAACGACTATATACATGTATATGATTTAAGATTATGCAAGAAATGAAAATGTTTATGCTTTGGCCATTATAAATATTTTAAAAAGAAATTCTTGCATGATTTATAACTTTTAATAATTTGACACGCTTATTATTCAAGTTGCTTTTTTTTCTACTTTTGTCGAAATTTTTGACCGCCGTATAAAATGCTTTGTAATTTATTGACATTTTTCAATGACTTTTCAATAGTTAAATATTTTTGTATACATAACAAATCATTATTGTCCGTAAAAGTAGTCAAAAAAAAAAAAAAAAAAAAAAAAAAAAAAAAAAATCATTCTCATTTATATTCCTAATCAACGTTTACAAGATCTTAACAATAAGAAGTTACTTTTTTTTTTTCTTTTCTTTTTTTTTTTTTTGCTTAAAAACAACATCAGCTTGATTTATAAATACTTTTGAGAGGCCTATTGAATTTTTTTATTGAATTATTTTATTTATTCAATTACAATAAGTATACAATTACTTCTTTAGAGAACTGCAATGAGTGAATTTAGGCATTGATTGCAATATATTTTATGTCAGTATATCATAATTACGTTTAGCAGCTTTAAAGCCATTAAGAACTTATTGAATCTTCTCATAAATGTTAAAGATACATACATATTTATAAAAATAGATGATATTAATTTATATTTTATTCGTATATATATATAAGACAAAAATTTAAAAACATTATCAAAGCTTTTGTTAAATAGTAAAAAAAAAATTACTTTAAGCAATTATTACAAGAAATTTATATG